TAATTTTATTTTATTTAATTTAATTTTATTTTATTTCTATCCCACCTATCTGATCGTATTCGACCACTCTAGGCGGCTTACAATAAAAACAATGATATAATTTTTACAACATTACAGCTATAATGAAATGAAGATAGAGAACAAAATAGGAAAAACTCTTTTCCTTGAAAAGAGAGTGGCAAAGGAAGAGTGAGAGCATTTTCCATAGCTTGCAGTTCTATGTGACTGTCCGGTGTCAGATGTCTTACTCCATAAAAGGTCACAGTGAGTTAATGTGAAAAGGGTCACTCTTCCAAAATGTTGTTTGTGTTACTGTTGTACTGACAACTTTGCCAATATGTGGACCCTTCTTCAGCAGGATGTGGCAATGCTACTGCTAGGGCAGTTCTTTTGATGCTAAGCTTCTTTGCTTACAAGGTAATAAAAACTGTGCAGGACAAGCACTAGAAGCCCAGTGTGATCAAGGGTCTTGTATGTATGTCCAGCAAGCAAATTTCTCATAATTATGAAGGGTAAGAGGGAAGGGACTGCAGGGAAAAAAACAGTAGGAACCCCAGAATATGGATTATACACTCTGTTAAACTCCAATATCTATTAGGACTGAGAGCAGACAAGCCAGCAAATTATTCCACATGACAAATTGGAACTGATAATAACTACTGTTAATTGGCAACACTGGATCTTCCATCTTCCTAGGACACAAGAGAAAAAGTAACCAAATCACCTAATTAAAATGCTTGGGGGGTTTAGAGTTTAAATACAAATCCTCTCTAAAACTTAAAAAAAAAATGAAAATAAAAATAATAAGGCTTCCACTTACCTCTACTTTGGATGCTAAAAACACACATGTAGGAGCCATTAGTACTGGATCTATACTTTTAAGGGAATATCTGAAAAGTAATAATATTTTGCAGAAATGTGGATGAATATTTTTTACAACACTACTTTTTCAGAAATCTACTGTAAAGGCTTTTAACACAAAAATAGAAACAGTTTGTTACCACATTATGTTTGTAATAAACTGCAAGGAACACAGGCTTGTTCTCCTAGAGCTCTTGGTCCTACCTGGCATAGAATCTCTTGAAATACACAGTAGCAGTGGCAATTACTTGTTGTCTTAATTTCAGATGTTCACCTAAAGCCTGGATAACTTACAAACAAAAGAAAACTGAGTTAAATTTTGAAAAGTGCGAACTTGCATTTTAACAGAAGTGATTAAAGTATGGCCCACAAGCTTGTAAAAGTATTAATTGTCCAACATTTCTGCAACATTAATTGCAATCTGATCCTACACCAATTTATTCAAAAGAAAGCTGCTGAGTTCATGGCAATACTGAAAGCCACAGTCATAGACATCTGTAAAGTGTAGGCCACTCATCCTCTCAGAATCCCTATAAGACATGTCTATAATATGTTTGTTTCATAAGTGAAACAGATCATGACAAAATTGAGATATATATTTCCAAAAACTGCTAAATCATAATACAAGTTGTGCTTAAGAACCTGTTCAGTAACTTGATTTTAAACTATTGTTTACTGTTTCAGATAAAGCAGAGTAACAGCTCAACAGGATCAGCACATCAAGAAAAGGATATGCATGCAGTGATACCAGCTGCAAAACTATGGTTTTGCAAACCGGGAAATATACATCCTACCTAGGCTGAAAAGTTAACTAGGGTCACAGTACTGCACAATTTCCATTAAGTAGTTTATATTCAGACAGATGGTGCTTATTTCCAATTTTTAAAAATTGTGTCATAAAAGTAGTGACACCACATGAAAGACAAAATAGCCATATGGTGTTGCTGCAGGCAGCACCTCAACACACCAAAGGTGATTGCTCTATAAAGTACTGTACAACTTAGTGAAATTCTCAGATCACTTGCCCTCAAGTCCCAATAATAACAACAGCACAGACTGAATAACTAGATCGTGTACACTAAAAACTATTGTTACCCTGTAGTGTTCCAACACATCACAAATGGATGTCATTTGTCCAATCTACTGAGCTGCCAGTATTAACACAATTGTTGAATTTGAAAGGCAGCAGGTGTTTGAAGCATGGCATATTTAGTCTAGGGAAAGGGAGTGAGGTGCAGCAGGAGGATGACAGATCAGAGGAGTCGTCAGCTGCTCTATCACAAGCTCTGCCTGCCAGTTGGCCAAGGAGCAACCCTGGTGTCAGCTGTGCAGGTAGCTCTTATTTGGCCTTCCAGGCAAAGGAGATGTGCCAAGTACGTTAGAAGCATCCGTCTGGGACACTCAGCAGAGGTGGAAGGACAGAATGATGGAATGAAACATAAGGTGATTACTTGGTATTTTTCCTGGATTCTCTCATCTATTCATAATGTATACATGGCAGTGTGATATCATTACTCTGACATTTTCCAATAGCCAGGCAAGTTTTGCTGTTTAAGCCTAAATTCAAAAACGCTGATAGACAAATAAGGCATCTACGCATAGGAGAACTGGCTAAAGAAACAACCTCTTGCAGAAGTCATCTATCCAATGTCACATGGAACATCAATGCTTTCAATCAGAAAACAGCATTTACTGATGATTACAACAAGTATAGTCTGGTACTTATGGATTATGATTTAAACATTAGCAGCACTTCTTAGTTTAACTTTACACAGACAAACTGTACTGGCTAACAGGGAAAAGTGCCTTGACATCCCCACTGCTTATCATGCTTTAGTTACAAATTAAAACTGACTTGGGTCCATTTAATGAGAAAGGCAGGGTAAAAATATTCTGAATGAATGAATGAATAAATAAATAAATAAATAAATAAATAGGTAAAGTTTCCCCTTGACGTTTTTAGTCCAGTCGTGTCCGACTCTAGGGGGTAGTGCTCATCTAATTAGTCAAGTTTAATTAGCCAATAGTTCCTCAATATATTGCTATCTGCAATATCAGAATAATTCTGACCTACCTTAACAAATTGCTGTAAAGATTACCAAAAAGCATACTAATAGGATATGATTGATACACACACAAATGTTATCAGTTTGCGCTCTAAGATACATATCAGTCTGGTTTGTACATGCAAGTTGAACCTCTAGTGCCTGCAACACCATCATGTTAATCTTGGACCAATGAATGATAACAGCAAAAATATTTTAGTTCAACCTGAGTTTTTTCACATATGCAGATGCACAAACTAAGTCGTATTGCAGTCTGTAACCTTTTATGCATCATTAGTGAACTTTCTGAAGAGAGGAGACTCATGAAAGCATTGACTCAAACTTCAAGGCAGAAAAGCTTGTTGTCAATTTCACAACAAAACTCCAGAACTGTAGCCAGACCTGAGAAAGACTGATGCTAGCACTAAATACCCAGGGGATGATTAAATCCAAGCTTAACATCTAGATTACCGGTAATCTGTTTCAGTTCCTCTCAAAATGCCTGTTTCAGACAGGATGCACATTTGCACATATGCCAAATAGTGTGTTCCTTCCTCTATATTTAGTTGCAAGTTTAAGCTGGGATATATCAGTCAACATATGCAGGGGTCTCAAACATGCGGCCCGGGGGCCCCCCAAATGATAGTTTGTGGCCCTCGCCTTGCCTGCCTCCCCAAAGCGCCCACACATCCTCTGCTATCAAGAGTAAAAGAAAAAAAAAAGCCTTGCCTCGCTCGCCAGCTCTCTCCCAAGACAGCACCTCTTGCACCCTCCATCCAGAACTGCAGCCTGCCAGCCAGCCCACCTGTCTACCGGCTAAGGAAACTCCTGGGTGGCTTCCTCGGGCTCTTGCTCCACTTGGCAGAAAATCTGATGCGGCCCAGCCTCACCCAGACTCTGCCTCCAGTGGCCGCCAGGTAAACTGAGTTTAAAACCCCTGAATATAGCAAGATCCATCAGTGCAATGGAAGAGCACATGTTTAACATATAGAAGATTCCAAAAAGAAAATATGGGTGAAATCACTCTACCATCAGAACAGGATCTATCACTGGCATTAACTGGAGTACAATCTCCCCTCCCCTTGTAGCCTCCTTCATCCACCATGTGCCCTCAAAATCTGATGCTATGCCTTGGGAGTTGAACAGAGAAGGAAGGGAAAGAGAGGAGATTTCCACTCACTTGATGTTGGATTCCTCCCTAAATGCTTAAAAGACATCTATAAGTCTTGAAAAATACCATATATAAGCTCAATGTTTAGGCTTTTTCCACAAGTTCAAGAACTGTAGAGTGTTTATGTCTGGAGGATCCTAACAATGCTTCTTCTAAAAATTAATATATGATAACTACTGTGTATATAGCACAACTCAATATAACACACCAACAGGCCAAGTTAGAACTGAAACCATTTTACCATTTGTAAAAAATATTTGCAGTTTCCAATATTCTTCTTCGGTCAAAAATTTTAAATCCTTTTGGCGTTCCTTCAGTAGATCTTGTTTATCCAAAATCCATTGCAAGCTACAAAGGAAGGAAATTACATTCATTTATTACATCCAAGTGAGATCAGCATATTGCTACAAACCAATTGAAAATAACACACTTTTCCATTTTCATTATGTAAACTGATGTGAAAATAGTATACTTCCTTGGTAGCTCAGACAAAGGTATTCAAAACTAATTCAGGAGAACAGTCTGTTGACAGCATGTTTAGCAAAATGCTATTCCGTTCTGACAGTAAAGGTTTGAGTTTGGTTACTACGCCAAAGATTGTACTCAACGGCTAAAAACATCTGGTATATGAGATGAGTAGTGAATGCAAAAGGCCAGAATAAGCCTTGCTCATCTGTTGCCACAGTTCATCTAGAGACTGCCATCAGGACTAGAACCTCTAATAAACTACCACAACATAGAAGAAATCCCAGCCCATGGATTTCTGGCTGCAAACCAAAATTATTTCGTATTTTATATTATGGCCATGAAATTCAACTTCAGACTGTTAAGTGTAGAACAACTGAGTACTAGAGAAAAACTTGTACATACTGTTTTTCCTGCCCCAAGAATTGTCACCTAATATACTGTATACTGTAAGCTATGTCAAGAATTTGGCTAATAGCTGAAACATATATCCTCTAAATGAAAGCTATGCAAAGCATACATGCACAATAGGTGTAAACATTAAGTTCTCTTTCTGTCTGCAATGCTTATCCAAATAAGATCTATGCAGCTCCATAATTTCCAATGGTATATTTTCATAATGATACAAATACCACCCATAAAACAACTCTTTGGAAATTATAGCCAAGAGTTATACATAGGCATTGCATTCGCAACTTAACTTTTCCTTCTTGGAATCAGATTTACCTAAGCACAAAAAATGACAAAAAGAATATAATTAAACTGACTGCTACCATAAAAAGGATTATAACCAAATGGGAACAAAAATATTTCCTGCTTATAAGTCTAATTTATATTGCTCTTAAAAATATACACTTTGGTGGGTTTTTTTTTTTTTGCAAGAAACCAAGTCATCATTTTGCAATCAATATCTGCTATTTCCAGTAATTTGTTTAAGATTAATTTGTTTAAGATTATTCAGCATCAGAATATAACAATGCTTCATTCACTTTAAATATCTTCAGAGAGGCAAGAGAGTAAGAAAAAAAATCCAAGTTTTTTAAAACTTTTGCTCAGAAGCAAACCTATAGTCTCCTTGAATTGTAATCAATTTCCACTCACCACTCTTGCTGCTTTTACAAAGGATCTGATAACATATTTTCAATGTGACTTTCTGAGCTAATTTTCTGTGATGATTTTACAGTTGTTGATTTTTTGTTGTCTCCTAGCACATCTGAATACTGTGCTTTTGTGGAAAGGTGAGGTAAAATATAATAACAAATTAAAATATTCAATATGGAGGTATTAAATATGCTAGACATGAGGATAAACTATAGGTTCCATCAAGATGGATAGGACAACACCATATTTTACCTCGCATACATCTCTACACAAATTTAGTAACTACTGCTGCCTTTACTTCTTAGCAAAAATTAAAGTACAAGCAGGAGCAGGGAACACAGTGTAAACATCATATGATCCCAAATATGTATGAGTTTATTTTTATTGAACAAACTCCTAACATTACCAGTACATCCTTTTTCATTGGGGATCAGCACACTTTTCTGTATCATACAGCTGACACCATGTTTCTATTAAGTGAAAGGTACTTGACCCCATATAATTTGATACCTTATCGCTATCACAGATATTGTAATGCACATATTATACGTTCAGTGCAGATAATAGATTTCCTAAACAAGCATAGAGTGTACATTGTCAAATTCTCTTTTGCTGAACAGCAGGAAACGAGTAGCTTTTTATATAAAGTTACAACAAACATACTGCTCTTCGCAAATATATTGCTCTCCATTAATATGCTCGCAATATGGATACTTTTTTAAAATCCCAAACTTCTGGACACACCCCTACCTTTCACGTCCCATTGTGCACCGTACTCCCTTCTCGAGTTTCTCCACTAAGCAGCCTCTGTTTTACAGAGTTGCCTTTCCACCCTTATATCTCTGCAATGCAATCCTATGCATGTCTATTCAGAGGTAAAACTCCATTCAGCTCAGTGGGAGCTGGTCCCAGAAAAACGTACAGGAAATGGCAACTGCGCTCTGTAATCCAAACAAGCGACACTCCCAAAAAGCCTTTCCCCCAGCCCGGCACCCAGAAAAAGACCAGAATAACTCACTAATGCGAGCTCTGCCAGAAATTCCCTGCCATGTAGAGGATTCGAGGCAGGCTGGGGTGGGGGTGAGGAGTCGCTTCTTCTCTGCTTGAGAACAACCCGCCCCGGTGTCCGAAGCCGCCTTCGCTTTTTTTTTTCCCCCTTCAGGAACAGGAACCGCTTCAGCAGCAGGAAGGAGTCGGCAAAAGCGAGAGCGCTCATGGAAGCGGCACAGGCAACCCCGGCTCTCCGTGTTCCTCTTTTATCTTCCGGCAGCTTTGCAACTCCCTCACAGATTAGTTCCTAGACGAGTTCTGCCTGTTGGAGTGAAGAGGTGGCGCCTTCCCTGTCTTTCTCCTTAACTGTTCAAGAGACCGTAATCTGTTGCCTGTAAACTGTTAGACCTGTACTGTTATCACAGAGAGGGCTTGTTTGAAGCAAGCTTCTGCTTGCTTTATTTGTGACTTTTTTTTACAAATGGACAAGAATGTCCCTAATGAAGCAACTACAGTATTTTAAATGTTGTAAGCCACCCAGAGACCTTTGGGTAGTGTGGGCGGCATATAAATTAAACAAACAAACAAACAAGATGAAGGGCCAAAGAGCCTGATTAACTTCTTCCATAGAGAGGTGAAAGAAAAAGTTTGATGCTGCTCAACACAAATACATTACAGGTAGTTGTAACATGGAACAGGAGAAATTAATCAAGAGTTAACTAGAAACCGTAAGGCAAGAAATGGAACATTGAAACATTGCAGTACTTTGAGCAGTATAAATTGTATCAGAACAGCCCATTTTCAGTGAGACAATCATGAAGTTTTCCAGGAAGAAACTGATCACACAGCAAAGCAAGATATACCTGTGAAGGATCTTATTTACCCACTGGTTGTTCAAAGGAGTTGCTCTCACTACTCAGTCACACTACTTTCTCTGGCTGGCTGGGTTATGTCCAGAGGATTAGTTAATGGTTGGGAAATGCCTCCTGAGACATGTGTTTTCCCTAGCATGCTCTGAATCCCTTATTTTATTTATTTATTTATTTAACTTTATTTATTTATTTGTATGTATTTATTTATTTATACTGTATCCTTCCATGCAGTCAAAATGATGTTCATAGTTTCCCAACAAACACATTTACCATATATAAATGCCCAATATTCAAGCTGAATTCCAAAAAGAAATAGGCACTAGAGATCATATTGCAAATATATACTGGCCAGTGATGCTTACCAAAACATTGCAGCAGAAAACCACTTTCTGTTTTATAGATTACAAGAAAGTATTTGGCCACCCAGAGAGTGCTTGTAGCACTATGGGGCGGTATATAAGCAGCACACTTTGCTTTTTGCTTTGCTTTTGCTTTATAGGCTACCCACACTACCCAAAGGTCTCTGGGCAGCTTACAACAATTTAAATATAATAAAACAATTAAAATGCAATTAAAAATACAGTACTCTAAAATTTACCATCAGGACCCACAGCTGGTATTATTTCAATTAAAAATCTTCTGGAACAGGAAGGTTGTGACCTAGCACTGAAACATCATCAACATCGGTGCCAGACAAATCTCACTCGGGATGGCGTTCCATAGTCTCCGGGCGGCTGCCAAAAAGGCCCTTTGTCTACAAGCCATCCCTCTTACCTCCTTGAGTGTTGCTGAGTAGGTTTGTATGGAAGGAGGCGGCCCTTCAGGTATCCAGGGCCCAAGCCATTAAGGGCTTTATATGTCAAAACAAGCACTTCGAACTGGGCCCAGGCAGCGACTGGTAGCAAATGCAATTTGAACAGAATCTGCCTTATGTGTTCCCTAACAGTCCCACCACTCACCAGCCATGCAGCTCGATTCTAAATCAGTTCCAGTCACCAGACCGCCTTCAAAGGCAGCCCCATGTACAGCACATTCAGTAATCTATATGAGATATTACCAGTGCATGTGTAACTGTCATGAGACTCTGCTCGTCCAGGTTGGGCTGTAGCTGGTACAATTTCCGCAGCTGAAGGAAGG